CCCGGCCGGCCAGGCCGCGCTTGGCCGCGCGGGCAGCGTGGTGCCAACCTACACACTGCGACAAACACACCGCCAGCAAAATACCGCCGCTCTCTTTTGTTTTCGTCCGTTTGGTGAAAGCCGAGCGCGGCGGCGCGGCGGTCGCACGCCACCCTGGGAGGTTCATGCTCTTCACTTCACCTCCGACCTCCTTGCACCTGCTGACAGTGGAACGCCCCGCCCCGCCCCGCCCCGCCCCGCCCCGCCCCGCCCCGTCACTGGGCTGACCGCGATGGGCTGGCATGAGTGGCCCAATTCGACCGCGGCGTACGTACACTCGAAAAAAGGAATGTCGTTGAGGAATCTATGTCGCGTCCGCACGTCCACGCGAAGCGCGCCCCGGGAGGGGCGTCCCGATGCCAACACACGAAAACAACAACAACAAGCAAAGAATCGTAATTGTGTTGTCTCGGTTACGTGCATCCCACACCCGATGATTCTCCTCACTTATCGATCCAGAGGGCATTTCTCCGATTGTCGACGCTTTGTACATTCCCCCTCCCCTCTCCACCGCAAAAGAAACGCCTCCCCCCCTTCCCCCCGTTTTGGGGGTCAAGGTGCCCGGGCAGGAGATAGTGTGTCCCAGCGGGCAGTCCACCGAGGCCGGCGCGGCCCGGGGGGCACAGTAGTGGGTGGTGTCATGTTGACGCGCTGCCGTGCCGGACGGACCATTTCTCCAACGACAACAAACAACAACAACACCAACAATAACAACAGCCAACAACACACAAAAATATTTAAAATAAACTACAAACGCGACGTAATAAAAATAAAAACAACAGCAAGTTGCGCCCTCCCCCGCTGACCTTTCAGGGACCATTGAAGTGTGATTCAATAAAGGGCGCTGCTGCCAGTGCTGAGGCGCGTGTCGAATAGTCGATCACGCTCGCTGCGTCGATGTATCGAAAGGGGGATCGACCGCCCCGCGCGATGCGGCGCGATGCTCCCACAGTGTCGCTGTCTCCGTCGCACTCGTGGGCCACACCGTAGGGAAGCGAGCGAGAGAGGGGTTATCGAAATCAATAACCGCCCGGCTGGGATTCCTCAGATGCGTATCGCGTTAATTGTTGCCGAGGGAACGGCAGTACAGTCGCCCACACGCTGCGTCGCGCTGTGCGGGAAGCCCTCGCTGAAACGGGACGATGCCCTTCGTCGCGGGGAGCAACAAGTAAACAGAGCGGACGACGCGGAGCGGACTGCCGCCGCAGGGAGACGCAGCCGCCCTGGAGACTTGGACGCACGAGTGGGGCGCTGATTCGATTACTCGATCGAGGAGTCGAAGACGTCGGCGAGCCCTGACCACGTGGACGCCACCACGCAGGCCGTGTGCCCGGCCCGCCGCGTCCCGGAGGGTCCGCCTGCACTGCGGACGAGTGAAGCTCGCTGACGCTTTAATTCCCGCCCGCCGGTCTAATTATTCGAACGCGCGCGGGAGGAGGCTGCGCCAGGCCGGCCCTCTTCCCTAATGAAATGTTCTCGACGGACAGGCTTCCGGACGGTGCGTTTGTGTTCCGTTTCAATTAGCCCTGGTGCAGCGGGTCAACCCACATCCTCGGTGGCGGGCGGGGGACCAAGGACGGGGGACTCGGAGGGCGAAAGTGATCGGGAGGGAAGGGACCGTGGGGGAGAAAGAAGGGTTATGGCAAGGTGGGACGGCCAGTAAATCTCCACACTGTCAATCCGAGGGCCCGTGGGTACGGGCCGCGCCTCGCCACGCCTCGCGTAGCCTCGCGTAGGGCCCCGTGGGGCCCCGCAGGGCCGGCGGTGACGTAAGGAAGGGCCCGCGCGTCCAATGCCAGGGGCCACACTGGTGTGTGTGAGTGTGTGTGTGTGTCCGGCATGACCTTTCGTCGACACGTTAGTTATCGCCCGAAACGTCCCCGCACTGTACCGCACCGGGCTGCTAGCTCCTGAATGGAATGCAGTGGATTTTTCATTATCAGAGGTGCGACATACGGAGTGAAAGGAATCCAGTGCCGGTGTTCGTGACAATCGTAGAATCAAATTTTTATTGTTTTTTTAAATAGAAAAGTTATTTTCCTGCGGACGCCGTGCTGTTTGCGGATCACGACGCTGTTTCCTCCACTTTGTCTCGAGGGGGCAGAGGTTCGAAGGTTCGATTCCCACCCGAAGCGGTGCGTTTTAATTCTTCTTTTTCGTTTACTTGTTCCAAACGATGCAGGGCCCCGATAACATTGACCGCGCTGCGAGCCGATCCTGAACAGTGCAGTCACTGTCTCTCTCGCACCCCGCCGCGCCACCGCGCGAGTGCGAGAGAGACAGACTGCGTGTAATGCTGTAAGCGCCGAGCGCGGGCAGGGCGGCGGGGCGGCGGGGCCCGTGGCAGGGCCAGTGTGCCAAGTACAGAGAGATTCCGACGGGCCGGCCGGCGTGGGCTACTTACGCGAACGACATCTTTGTTTGAAATCGAAATACACTCGAGTAACGGGATGACAATGCAGTGGAAGGGCCCCCCGAAGGGCCTCCAGGGCCCCAAAGGGCCGCCAAGGGCCGCGCACCGAAAGGGAGGAGGCCCTCGCAGAAGGAAGGAAGAAGAAAAAAAAATCCAGGCCAGCGCAAAAGGTGCCGTGAGCGTGTGTGAGTGAGAGAGTGCGCTTCGTTGTTGAATGTCGGAGGCTGCACCAGTGGCGTGGTGGGGGTCCCTTTTTCGACTTGGCCGAATGCACTCTCGCGCTCGCACACAAACGCACACGCACACACAGAGACACTCACAAGGTGCGCGGTGCTAAGTCCAGGCGCCGCGGGTGGGAACCTTACACCCGAGTCTTTTTGCTGGCGAGTCTGTCCGTCTGTCCGTTTAAGTGCGACCTAGGGTGCGCGACGGCGGGCGTGATGAGGCGCATTTGGCGACTTCAGCATCAGGAACATCACGCGCAAAAAAATTGAATAAACGAAACGAGCGCACAAAACGCGCCCCGCGTTTCCAGTACTATTTTCAGGTTCTTGATCCGATGTGCACGTAAATCAACGCGAACATGGGCGCGCTCTCATCACCGTCATCATCATTCCGTTTCCGATAATGTAAATAATAACACTGGTCGGTCCGGTACCGCGAGGCAGCGCGAGGCAGCGCGAGGCAGCGCGAGGCAGCGCGAGGCAGCGCGAGGCAGCGCGAGGCAGCGCGAGGCAGCGCGAGGCAGCGCGAGGCAGCGCGAGGCAGCGCGAGGCAGCGCGAGGCAGCGCGAGGCAGCGCGAGGCAGCGCGAGGCAGCGCGAGGCAGCGCGAGCAGCGCGAGGCAGCGCGAGGCACCGCGAGCCAGCGCGAGGCAGCGCGAGGCAGCGCGAGGCACCACGAGGCAGCGCGAGGCAGCGCGAGCCAGCGCGAGGCACCGCGAGGCACCGCGAGGCAGCGCGAGGCTGCGGACGCGCGGGACTCCGCGGCGCGTTACCGCCTGGGCTGGGCGCCCTCTGAGGGCTCCGAGGACGCCCCCAGGCCACACCACGCACGCGCGTCGCTCTGTCTCTCTCGCACCTCCACCGGCCGGGCCGTGAGTGCGAGAGAGACAGAGCGACGAAAGCACGATCGGGAGGGAGACTTTGGCGGTGGCGCGCCATGGCGGTGCCGAGAGACGTCACGGCGTCGTCGAAAGTCTATCGCGCGCTTCGTGACAGGCTCGTCTCCTGTGAAAACAACGGCGCGAGATGCGAAATCATTTTGATCCAACGCGCAGTGAGATGCGCGGGGCGCGCACACTGGAAAGCGAGGATCATTGAAAGTGGCCAACGCGTTTCAATTGCAGTTTTTTTTTTGGCGAGTGGCTCTGCTTGCTCTGCACTGTGGATAGGATTTCAGCCAGCGAAAGCCTTGAGGAGACACAGTTGCCATCGTGCGCCCCGCCCCGCCCCGCCCCGCCTGGAACGGCCCGGTGCCACGGCATAGCGCTAATCTCCAACGGTGTCACTAATAAATTAGTGCGAGATTCATGATTCATTCCATTCGCACACACCGAGAGTCACGCCACACTGCCACAAACGCTATTGAGATAAGCCAAAGGCCGGGCAGTGTGGTGGTGTCACTGCCGGCCGCGCCACATCCGGATGGATTGATGCGGGAATACGCCTCAGACACAACGGGGTCAGGCTTGACACCCCGGACTCCTCTGTCTCTCTCTTTCTCCTTGACCCGAGCAACAGGGCCAGCGCGCCTGGGCCGCCGACGCGTCGGAGGAGAGTTTCTATTTGAGTTTCAAGTTAATAACTTTATCTGCGTGTTGTAAGGTAATCCCTCCGCCCCCTATCACACGTCCATCACGTTCGCCCGGTGCAGTCTGCAGTCGGCTTCCGCGACTTGATGCGCGGTCGATCTCTCGAAGTACGAATCAGAAAAAAAACTTTCACGGTTGTGCATAAAAAGAAAGGTTATTTTCGTGTTCACTGTTTGTTCGGGGTCCTTATCTATAAACTGAAAAAAATAAATAAAAAAGAATCGCCACTTCAATGAAAATTAAAAAGAAATAATAAATTTGCTTTAAACCGTACTTCAGCAACAAAACAACGCATCTTTGTTTTGTTGAGCGGACGAGGACGTGCCGTCGATGCGTCCGATGTGATGCGTACGCCGCCAGAAAATTCCAAATATGCTGCGTGTATAGCCGTCACAATCAGAGGATATCAAATCGCACGCCACCTGCACGCACACACGAGGTGGTTTACTGACTGGCCGGGATGGAATGCCCATCCTGTGTTTTATGGGGTTCGTAAACCCGGTACCTGACGCCGCCTCGCGCCGCCCGCCTCTTGATTCGAACGGGGCGAAACGGGCGGTGCAGGCAAACACTGTTTTCCCCGGCCAGGATAATGAGTGAGGAACTGAAGCGGGCGACGACGCGACCGCAGCGCCATCTACCTAAATGCACTCTCACTGCGTTTTCCCGCCAGTCTGTCTGCCTGTCTGTCTGCCTGTCTAGCTGTCTGTTTGTTTGCAAAAGCGCTACTACTCACCAGACTTGCCGACGCGCGCCCCGCCCATGACCACGACGCGGATCCTGTTGAGGTTGGTCATGTTGGCGATGAGTTCCCGCGCTCTTGCAGGACCAGGGAGTTCCCCTGGGAGTGCCTGGGACGCTCTGGCCCCACCCCTCCTACGAGGGCTGGGGGCTGCTCGACCCGCGGTCCTTCATCGCATCCTAGAACAGAAACAGAGGGCGCTCTGCTGAAGACAGTCAAATGGGACCGCGCGTCTTTGGCTTGGCGCGCCTGTCTCCCCCCTCTCTCGTTCACACACACACACACACACACACACACACACACACACACACGACACCTTCACACGCCCACACATGCACCCAGTGCCGACGACCCCGCGTCGTTGCCCCCTGCGAATTCAACAACATGAAAAATAACAACAACTCCAGTACCGGTACCGGTTGGTTAGAGCTTTGGGATGACCACCCGGCGAGCGTGTAATAATATATAAGCCAATAAGCAGCGGACGCCCCGCGATTTATTGAAAATCGAAGAAAAGATCGATTTCGCTCGGCGGTGGTTTTCTCCTGACGGAATACTCGCCAATCTCTTCACTCTCTTCCCGCGCAAAATCCGCGGCGTCAAGAAGAGAAATTTCCCCGCCCTTTTCGTCGCGGTGTATTTGTGTAACCCTTTTGATGGAGCTTCTCCATTAGAGCAACAATAAAATATGTTTTATTTTCCCCCAATTCGGTGTCTACTCCTTTTACAATCCTTTATTTTACAATCTCGGGGGTCATTTTCTCACATCGCCGTAAGATCGAGACCTTGGTCTGCGACCCCTAAAATTCGAGAACACGGTCAAATTAGTTCCGGGGCGACGCCTTAACGACGGCCGGGCGCGTCGCGCGTTCGGTAACGTTTTGTGGCGTTTTGTAACGCGTCGTCCTCAAAAAGATTCATCCCAAACTAAGTAGGCGTGAGCATTTCGATTTAACGGCCAGTAAAGGGACGCGACGACGTCGCGGCTCTGCCGGTGTTTCAACCCAAACTTCAGGGTGGCCAACCAGTTGATTCCTCACTCTCCCTCCTGCCGCGGGATATTTCCCGCTCACCGAGCCGGCGAGAAATTTCCCTCCCGCCGAAGGGCCGAGCCCTGGCACGACGTGTCGAACGGGAACGCGCAACGCGCATGCCTGTCAGACGTAACCTCAATAAACTTTGCGCCACGTAGCGAATTATCCTTTCAGGCCGGCGGGGCCCTCCGAGAGGCCCTTCGAGAGGCCCTTCGAGAGGTCTTCGAGAGGCCTTCGAGAGCCCTTCGAGAGGCGCGTATGTCGCTCGATATTGCACTCCGGAAACCCGCGGCCATGAAAGGACTAACAAGCTGATTTAAGCACCCCATTTGCAGCGCGGGTAGCGCACCTCCCTGCTGAGTGTACGTGTCTGTCTGTCTGTCCATCCGTCTGTCTGTCTGCGTGCGAGTCGTTGGTGAGATGCCTTCGAAACCAGCCTAAATTCGCTTGTCAGCAAAGCCCTAGGATGGCGCAGTGGGCTGCCTACCTCCTCGTCCGCAGGCGCTCCGCGCAGTGTAGCCATCGCTCTGTCTCTCTCGCACCCGCCCGGGCCGGCCCACGAGTGCGAGCGAGACAGAGCGGCAGATGGCTTTAACGACGGGCCGGCCGGGCCATAAAGTGGGCCTGTCCGATTCGGACCACCGCGCGTTAAATCGGCCGAGAGGGCCGCGTCGACGCGCTGATAATCGATCATCACAATCGATTATTAGAGTCGATCGCAATCGATTATTAGGACCGAATCATCGTCATCTTCATCGATTTCCAACGTGATTTATATTTTTTTGCGGCCCGTGTGACTTTTTTTCTCTTTTGTTTCTTCACCCGATAGGACTTCCGCGAGGCTGTTTCTGCTTCTCTGTCTCTCTCGCACGCATGGGTCAGGCTGGGTGTGTGCGAGAGAGACAGCGCGACGGCGACACTGCGCAGAGCGGACGAGGTAGGCAGACTTCTGCTGCTCCCCTTGCGCAATGGCACCGCCTTGTCGTGCGAAAAGTACACCTCGGCGTGCGAATAACGCGCGCAGCCTTACACTGTATTCGCAGCGGCGTTACGTAATTAACGCATTAGGCCCAATTGGACCGACACACCGACAGATCACACGCGCCGCGGCGCCGCCCCGAACACGGGTATTACCGGACAAGCCCCACGAACCAAACGCCCTCGAAGCGGAGAAAAAAATACGAAAAATAATAAAGATGGAAAGGCAAAAGAAGCAGGGTGTAATAAGCAAAAGCAAGTGCACCTCTGCTGTGCTGCACTTCTTCGGCTGGGAAACAACAACAAAAGCAAAAAACAAAATGTACTGCGTTCTGAATACGAGCAGTGACAGTTCACAAAGTTCATAAAACGGTAGGAGCGTAGTTTCAAGAATTTGGAGCCAGCGGAGCTTTCATAGTACTCCTCGGCCGTCAAAAGAAGGAGGGACCTCCGACGGCCAAGGAGTTCAAAACACTGGCAAAACCAAACGCAGTAAAAATAACTCTTTCGAAAATCCGCGCTTTAACGGAAAAGAAAAAATTCTGGGCGGGCCAAAAATGTTTCCGAGAGAAATGTAAGGCGGTGAGGTTTTGGCGGGAAGACACGTGCGTTTTGTTTCACGACCGGAACGGCACGATGAGGGGGACGCTAGCGGAGGTCCGGTGTCTGCAAAATCAACCCTCAATATCAAGCAGGGGGAAAAATCAGCGCGAAAAAAGGGGTCGAGTGGAATGCACCACATCAGCAAGTCGCGAGTCGCCGGGGCCGGACGGAGGACGGTTCCAGGAACACTCCGGCAGCTGTGTGTCCGGCCAGCGCGGCCAGCGCGGCCAGTCCCGACGCGGTGTCAAATTGAGCACCACGTGCACGGCGGATAAGTCGAGAGCGGGGACTCGGCAGTCCCTGATCCAGATCCGGGCAAAGTAGCTCTGTTTGCCCACTTACAAGGAGTGGTATTCTCCCACCTTTCAGGCGGCTATCTAGGAGCCAAGGGAAGGGGACAATTGTCCTCCCCCCCTTGCTGGATCCACGTCTGCGAATGGACTGCTTGGGGTTCGTCTCCCCTCGCCGCTGAAATGTTTAGCGTCGGATCTAGACGCTGCGGCATCTTTTTATGCACCCGGAGACATCAACGGAGGGCGATACCATTATGGTTTTCCGCGGCCGGAGTTATGGTTAGGCGCACCGTAAAATAGTTGCAATGCAGTTTTGATGGTGCCTAGCCCTAAAGTCCGGCCAGAGACATCCTAAGTGGAATCTTCTATACGGTGCCTTTTATGGGCGAGCAAAATGTAACACTGCTTAGCCGGTCCGTTGGGAGTCTGTTCGTGGTTTTGTCCGCGAGAGTTTGAAATTGCTACCCAGCCTTACAGTTGGACGGCACTTACGCTCCTGTCCGGTGCCAACCCGACGACGACGGCGGCGGCGGCTGTCCCCTTCCTGACGAGTCGCGCAAAAGGTTGCCCGTACCAGATCACACCCCGAAAGCGGGGCACGCACACACACGCACGCACACACACACACACGGGATGCACCAAAGTGCCACCAGACTGCAGCCGGGCGACGTGTGGGATTAACGGTGCAGCCTGTCGACGTGCTTGTGGTCGTCCGTGCGACGAGCGTGGCGACGCGGCGACGCGGCGGGCACTGCGCGGCGGAAGGGACGGCGGACGCGCTGGCGCGGTGTGTGCGGCCACTCTCGGCAGCCGACTGGAGTCGAAGCGAGGCGGAGACCAAGTCTCCGCTGCCGCGCTGCCGCCAGCGGTCCCCTCTGGTCCCCTCCCTCTCCCGGGCGCGCCGTGCCTTCGCCGTGCCGGGCCGGGCGAGCGCCACAGCGCCCCCCAGCGGCCGAAGCCAGCACCGCCGTCCAAAACAGACTCACACTCACGCCCCTCCGGCCGGGCCGGCGCAGCCTGGCGCAGCCCGTCCCGGCGTAGCCCGGCGGTCTGACCTTACTCAACAAACAGCTGGTGGCCTACCGGCAAGGCTGCCGGCGCAGGCCGCGCGGCTCCACTGCTTGCAGCAGACAGAGACCGAGAGGGACAGAGAAGGACAGAGAGACCGTTGTGTCCTCGATCGCCATCCTTCCTCCCAGGACGGGGCGTCAAAATGGAACATGGTTTCTCACGCGCGTGCAAACTATACAAATAATCCGGACTCGTTCAGTCGGCCGGGCGACTCTGCACGCACCGCTTATCCGCACGCGAAGTCCATCAGGACCATCCGCAGCAGCGCGGCGCTTGACTTGCCGACGATTGAAGCTCGAGCAGCCCTGGGGGACGCCGCGGCCACGACCGGACACGACACACGCCGCCGTCGGCGCCGTCGGCAAGGGCGTGGAGATGGCGGCGTCTCTCCGTTACGGCCATTGCTTTCTTCTTTTTTGACCCACGGAGCCACTGCCTCGGCGGATCACACTCGGGTGTGCGCGCTCCAGCCACCACGCGAAGGCTCGATGAATGTGTGAGTTAGTTAGGCCATTGTCAGTCGCATCGAACGAGGCCATCAAGCGCCCCATTGGCCACTCCCAGTGTGATACTTCTCTTGGACGGAGCTATGAAATATCTGCGCCTCGCCTCACATCGTTCAGGAACTAGTGCTTCCACCGCAGGCGAGCGCCCGGGCGGTAGGCAACCCAGCGCACCGGAGTGCGGCGGGTCGGCCTACGCTGCAGGCGTTTCGTCTCCCTCTTCTTGTGCAATCGCACGCACGTCATCAAATTGCACTTCACCGTGGGGCTTTTGTGCGAGCGCGCGCCCCGGCTGCGAATTGTTGAGTCATGCGCAAATCATTTCGGCTCCCGGTCAATTTATGCGACCCGTCCGTGTGTGTGAGCGAGCGTCTGTGTGAGCGTGTTGCGTTGTGTAAATGTGGCTGTTAGGTCAACCCGTGGGCTTTGGGTTTTGGGTACACTGTTTGGCGGGAGGGCTTAACTCCGTGGCTGGAGAGGCAGGCTGTTTTTTTGCAAGAGCCGCGGAAGCGCCGGGCAGTCGGCCGGCGGGACGCACACACCCACAGCCGGCACGACGGACGTCCTGAAAGTAAATCCAGTCGTGAGACTCAAAGGGTGCCGTGAGGTGCCTCTGAGGTGCCTCCGAGGCCGGCCGCGCACGCCGCGCTGGGAACCGTCTTAGCGTATCGATTTACGGCGCATGCCCAATTGTTGGGCCGAATCGATAGCGAGGGGAAAGTGATTACGGAGTGTAAGGTAAGGTGCGCTAGTCAAAGCAGATCGTATTTTAGTTACGTTGGCGTCCGCGGCGGTGGCGGAGTGGGAGGGGGAGGAGGCACTGGGAGTCGAACCACGATCATTCCAGGAAGAAAAAGGAATCGGTCAGTCGAGTTTAAAACGATGTGACTTTGAACCCACAGGATAAAGGAAATTAAATTTGAGTAGTATGGACTCCCCATGCGCACGGGCCGCCATCTTGACTACACCCCGAAAAGTGGCATCTTGTCAATGGTCTCGATCGTAGCTGATTTTCATCGTGGCGTGGAACTCTCTGGATCTCGGTATGAGCGTCTTGAGGAGCAAGATTACACTTTTCGAGTAGTTTACCACAGACGTGCGCCCGAAATTAGGGCGCGGCTCGGGCGTGACTTAATAAGAAGCGACGTCAAGGAAATGTTCCACAGTTTGCCAGGTCACATGACCCGCCGATACTCAAACTGGACCTCGCTTGATTTATGCCGCTATAGAGACATTCTGGCCTGCCGTTGTCCAGCCGTGCAGGCCGCGTGCGAGAGAGACAGAGAGAGATGCAGGTCGCTGCAGGGCGCTGCCGCCACACAATGGGCCGTCCAGTGAGCCGACAACCCGTCTCTCTCGCACCCTCGGACCGGTCGGGGAGGTGCGACAGAGACGGCGACGGTCGCGGCGGGTGAAGCCGTTTTCGAAAACACTCGGACTGATGCTGGGGCGGGACGGGACCTCTTGTTAGTTACCCACAGCCGCACACACACATGCACACACACACACACCTACTCACACAATACACTCAGCCACACACCGCGGAAGGTGTACTTTGACTGCTGCATGCCCAGTGTCGTGACATGGCGCCTCTGTGGTTGCGTCACCAATCCATCTTTTCTTTCTTTCCTTCTCTCTATCTCTCTTTCTTTCGCTAGAAGGTCCAAGGAGTGCACTGAGGGATCTGTTTCGCTAAAGGAATGAACTCTTTGGTCTCCGTAATCAAAATGCGTGATTTCATCCGTTGAGCCAGGCACACATAATTAGTGGACACTGGCCTACAAAGGACGGAAAGGGGCCCCGAAAGGGAGAATCCCCTGGCCCGCCCGGCCCTCCGATAATCCAGTGCCTTCAGTGCAGCGGTACTCCGCTCCCATTTCCAGCGATGCGGTATTGGTTGGCCCGGCCACGGCCCGGCCGAGCCAAAGTGACATCACTGGGAGGGGGGCTTTAAGGAGGTGCATTCTGCAGGGCTCGGCAGGGCTCGGCAGGGCCAGACGCGACGATGCAGGGGCACACTCACTCACACACACACACACGGCGTGCAGCAGGGCCAAAGCACGCCAAATTCGTGCTGCCCTTGTTTCGTTTGTGTGTCCTAATGATGTCCCCGATCCGCCCGAGCAAGGCCCCCTCCCCTCCCCCCCTCCCCCTCCGACTCCCTTTGCTGCACATTGCGCTCTGTATCGGAAGATGCTCACCTCATCTATACCGGCCGGAAGACCGGCCGGGGCCCTGTTTATTCTCTGCTCGATAAAAATTCGATTTCTTTTTCTGGTTGGTTGTTTTTAAGTCCCTTTGCATGACTTCATATTTTTTGCAGGATTTTAATCATGGACTCTGCCCGAGTTCCGAAATTGCAAAGGAATCGCGCCCTCTCGAGCAGTGACCAGCGCACTTTGCCCTGCTTGCAGTTTCTTCTCGTTCCCTCTAGTTCCTTCCAGTTCCTCCTAGTTCCCTCCCTTCCCGCCTCGTGGCGCTGCTGGCCGCGGAAACGTTACCGAGTTGGCGAGGAAAAAGAAAAGGGGGGGGAGGGGGGGCGAGGCAGTGTTGCAAGACAATAGGCCCTGCACCATAACTCTGTACTTAAGTCTGCCCTACGTCGGGTAGCCAGTTCGGTGACAGGCAGGCCTCCGGGTACGCGCGGACCGCGGCGTGGCTTGGCGCGGCGTGGCGCGGCTACCTCGGCCCGCTAGCCCGTTGCTTCCGGCAACCAGTACATCAGGTCACGTTTATTCGGGGAGGGTCGGTCCGGTGACGATTGTTTCGTCGAAGCGTTTCCTATTTCATAAACCTGGACGTGTTTATGGGGAACGGAAGGAAGCAGGGAGGCCGTGCTGCGTCGCTCTGTCTCTCTCGCACCCCTGCGGGACTGTGCGTGCCGCCCCGGGAGTGCGACCGAGACGGAGCGACCTCCCGGCATCAGCCTGGTGGCTGCGGCAGGCTGCGGCAGGCAAGCGCGGAGGTGCGAACATTTCCATATTGATTTACCGTCAGGGACGAAAAGGACAAACGACAATCCCCGGGCAGACGCCTGCGAGGCTCGGGTCGTACTGTGTCGGCAGCAATCTCTAGGAAAACACTCGAACATGTGCAGATGTTTCAGCTGGACTTTACTTCAATTTTCGTCCTTCCAAAATTTAAAAAAAAATTAGTGAAAATTTAAATTAAAATTTAGTTTTCCAAAGAAACTTTTTTTCTACAAAAAAAATCCCATTATTAATTCGTGAAAAAATAATGCGCCTCGGAGCCCTTGGCCTGCATAATGCATCGTGGATGCACCGAGGCCCGGCCCCTCTCATTCGGCAAAGAGAGCAAAGTGCAGCAAAGCGCAGCAGAGGGGCGAGCCCCGTTCTGTGCTCCTTTTCCTGTGACCCCGAATCCCGTCATCGGTATACACTGCGGCGGACTGATTCCGAGAGTCGTCGCTCTGTCTCTCTCGCACCCACAGGGAGTCCCGTGTAAGGTGCGAGAGAGACAGAGCGAAGCCTTATCACGGCGGCCCGGCATTGTTACGGGTCGGACCGCACGTAATAAAGAAGGCCGGCCTATCTCGGCCCTTCCGTAACGAGTCTTATTTTGTTGCATGCAGTGGTATGTTTAAAACGCGCGCCCTTTTGTGTGCGAGTCGAGTCGTCTACCGGCTTGTGCTGCTTGTGCAGGCCTGTGCTTGCGACGCGCGCACCCGTCCTACTATTCAGCGCCGCTTGTGGCTCTGCCTCTCTCGCACTCGTGGCGCACCCGTGAGGGCGCGAGAGAGACAGAGCGACCCCCTGCTCTACGCAGGCCAAGGGGTCGACGTGACATCGTCGCGTCGACGGAATTGAACACTGATGGAGTCTGTTCACAAGCGTGTGCTAAAACGACACTTCTAAAAGTGGGCTTAAAAAATTCGGGTCGCAACACAACCCCACCTTTTCGGTTGTCAAACAAAGTCTAGTATAAAGTCCGATTTTTTGCGATTTGTCGACCGTGGAGGGGACGCAACACGAATACAACCTGGTCCCCTTTCAATTTCAGCTGGCTGGCCCTACCGGCGACTGCATCCGATATTATTTAAATGTGACGAAAGCGTTATGCAACGGTGCAGCGAGTGTGTGACAATGCAGACGTTATGACCCCATAATGTGCATCGCAGCGAGAGCAGCAAGACTGCCGCCCCCTGCGTCCCCTTCGGCCGAGCCCTGGCCGAGGCCTGGCCGTACCGGACTGGG